TGTGTGTGTGTGTGTGTGTGTGTGTGTGTGTGTGTGTGTGTGTGTGTGTGTGTGTGTGTGTGTGTGTGTGTGTGTGTGTGTGTGTTTACTAGGTCAACTAATGACCATTCCCTGGACACAGGCCCCAAGAAATTGTCAAACCTCCAGGAACTTATTTATTGCCGGGTAAAAAGAGGCACCAGGTGAAAGGAAAAGCTGCGCCAATTTATTTCTGCTCCGGCTGGGATTCGAACCCGGAACTTACGGCTGAGGATCGAAGTCGTTCACCACTTAACCACAAGCATCCCCCCCCCCCCACCAACCTACCCCCCCCCCTCCCTCATCTCTCTCTCTCTACATGTATGTCTCAGCACGACACGACACACCCATAATGCCCCCCCCCCCCCTCCACACACACAGAACGACCAATAACCTCATTCAGGCTCACACGCGCACATGCAAGATCCAGGGGAGTCAGGGGCAAGATTCACGAAAGCAGTTACGCAAGCACTTACGAACCTATACATCTTTTCTCAATCTTCGGCGGCTTTGTTTACAATTATTAAACAGTTAATGAGCTCCGAAGCACCAGGAGGCTGTTTATAACAATAACGACAGTTGAATGGGAAGTTTTCATGCTTGTAAACTGTTTAATAAATGTAACCAAAGCCGTCAAAGATTGAGAAAAGATGTACACATTCGTAAGTGCTTGCGTAAGTGCTTTCGTGAATCTGGCCCCAGGCATGCTTATTCCTGGAGCCAAACACGCACACGGACACAGCGTACACCAAACGTACACACACATGTACGTACATGTACGTACACAAGGGACTAAATTATGAAGAAAGTTTTGCCTTGTGGCTTCTAGATAACGTCCACCTCCACTCTAGTAAGTGTATTATGCTGACACCATTTATGTTTCAGCATAGTTGTAGTTCCTCCCTTACAGGGGATATATATATACACCGAGAGGCATGGGTGATCCTTTTCTCGGTGTATATACAATGATGGTATACTTTAGTCCTGGACAAGGACTTGCTGGTTGGTCTTGTTATCGTGGCTTAATAACTGTCCAGAGGGTGATAGGATATAAGCCCAAGACCAATAGACTGTATGTCTATTATCCTCCAGTTCGACTTTGGTTCTGCCAATTCGTTGCTCGTAAACTCTTTGCTGGCTGCTTTATGTTATTGATTATACATTAAACAGTGCAACTTGCTTAATAACACAGTTACTTGCTCAGCTAAATGAGTTTAGAGGTTGAGTTCCTGAGGTCATCATGTCCCTCTGTAACCTTCATGCCGCCCACAGGATAGACATGGGACTACACTACAGTCCACGGAATGGATATGGTGTCCACTACCGCCCACAGGGTTATCTTGAGGTTATCTTGAGATGATTTCGGGGCTTTTTAGTGTCCCCGCGGCCCGGTCCTCGACCAGGCCTCCACCCCGTGACAGCTGACTAACACCCAGGTACCTATTTTACTGCTAGGTAACAGGGGCAAAGGGTGAAAGAAACTCTGCCCATTGTTTCTCGCCGGCGCCTGGGCTCGAACCCAGGACCACAGGATCACAAGTCCAGCGTGCTGTCCGCTAGGCCGACTGGCTCCCTTGGGTATGGTATGGGGTGCATAATAAATGAACAAAATATAACAAAGTCAAATGCCCTGTGCTCCGGAATACGGGTGTGTTGCTCGGTCTCTCTCGTCTCAAGCCAGCATGTTTGTTGGGTTAATGGCCCGTAAATAAGGCAGTTTTTGCCTCAGGCTCTCAGACAGTTTGATCGTTAGTTCAGGCTTCTCACTGCAAGAACTTCAAAATCCCTCTCAGTCGTCTTGAGGGCTGCAATGTTGTGAGTTATTTAGTAATTGCAATGAGTTACGGATAGGCGGAGGAGGATGAAGAGGAGTTGTGATAGGCAGTAATAATCGAACGGATGAAAAGGGAAAAATAGGAGATGTTAGACGAATTAAAAGTATATTTAAAAAAAAAAGATGGGGAAGGGAAGGTTCGTGGGGAGGTTTGTATGTTAGAGAGGGATGGAGGGACAGAGAGAAGTAGTGAGAGTAGGAAAGAGAAGAGTGAAAGGGGCATAGTGTTAAAGAAAATATAATGTGTGGTGATTAAAAGGGATTAGATTGAGAGATAGCCAGATTTAGTAATGTTGGTATATGGAACGTCGTTAATTCACAGTCCTCTCTCTCTCTCTCTCTCTCTCTCTCTCTCTCTCTCTCTCTCTCTCTCTCTCTCTCTCTCTCTCTGTCCCCTCTTGTTTACAGTTCCTATCCCCTCTCCTTCCTCCCCCTCCTGCTTTCACTTCCAGGCTACAGACCCATCGCGCTAACTTCACACACACGGCTCTGGGAGTCAACCTAGTTTGTCTCCTCAGTGTTGTGTTTTCTTCTGAATATACTACAGATATACTGAATATACCTATAGATATACTGAATAGATATACTGAATAATATACTGAATATAATATAGACAACCACATTACAATATTTACGGCATTCAGTCTGAATTAAAAGAGCAAAAATTTAAGATTTGGAGAGTTTCAACTTTGGTTTTTTCTTACCAAGAAGTGTAAGAAATATGGAGTAGATTCGTGCCAGAATGATGTAAAAAACATTGTAATATATATTACTATATTCAGTAATATAGACAAATACATATATATATATATATATATATATATATATATATATATATATATATATATATATATATATATATATATATATATATATATATATTTTTTTTTTTTTTTTTTTTTTTTTTTTTTAAAACCTAGAAGGGGTACCACCTCTGGTGCAAATGTAGGGACCCATAGCCTCGGAGAAGAAAATAAAGAGTACTCAGAGAAGACCTTGTGGATCCTCACTGAACACTTTGATATTTTCTTCTCCTACCACCCCTATTCTTTTGTTAAGTGTGTATATTTATCTAACTTTATTTGAAAATGTCATTACACAAAAAAAGTTACAATATTGATTACATACAGGGTACAAGGCTGTTTGTCACAAGTTGTACAGCTCTTCCAGCTCCTCAGATGGCGGGCAGGAACCATATATATATATATATATATATATATATATATATATATACATCACACATTTGGTGAGCTCAACGTCTCGTCGTGATTGATTGATGAAGATTAAGCCATGCAAGAGGGGGCACGGGCATAAGTAGCCCGCAAGGAAATCTGTAAGGTCCGGTGGTGAGCTTCAAGCACCAACCTATACAAGGCATAATTGGTGACAAGATCAGGAACACCTGACCTTGGCAGATTTGGTAGTTCTATTATATATTTACAAGGATTCAACTATTTTTTCTATTAAAACTACATCTTTAACCACTAAACTGCGCAGCTCTTTAAACATATAATATTGAGGTGTGCATGACTAAATATATAAAGTTAATAAATAAATTTGCAAAAAAAGCTATTTTTTTATGGCGTCTGGAACTCTGAAAGACATACATCGGACATAGAGCATGTTGAGCAGCGCAAGGGTTTAGGATACAAAAACAAATATATTCCCTTTTAAAGTGTTTCCTGATCAGTTTTGAAGCCTCCACAACGGAGGAAACAGTGTCCTTAATAGGAAGATGGTCGGTGAATCGGGCTTATGGTTCTCGCCCGGTTCTCTAAAAGGTGGTTGGGCAGTAGGAAATAAATGCCCTGCCTGGCTAAACGTCTGACGCGTTTTATGGCAAATGGGATTAACATGATAGGAACTTTATGATTCGTGATGCATACAGGATGTGTTGAGTGGTTGTTGATGGTGTGGTAGTGGGTGGTGGTTCCCTGGTTGATGGTGGTGGTGTTGGTTGTTGGTGGTGTGGTAGTGGGTAGTGGTTCCCTGGTTGATGGTGGTGGTGTTGGTTGTTGGTGGTGTGGTAGTGGGTGGTGGTTCCCTGGTTGATGGTGGTGGTGTTGGTTGTTGGTGGTGTGGTAGTGGGTGGTGGTTCCCTGGTTGATGGTGGTGGTGTTGGTTGATGGTGGTGTTGGCTGGTGGTGGTATCGTTGGCTGGTGGTAATGTTGTTGGCTGGTGGTGGTGGTTGGCTGATGGTGGTTGGCTGGTGATTGTAGTGTTGTTGCTGGTTGCGATACAATCAGAGCCTAACACCGCCACAACAACAAATCACACACCAGCTGCTATCATTTACAGAAAATATACACAGATTTTTGTACGGTGTTGGCTTATTGTTAGCATGCCAATGCAACACTGCTCATCTGCTGTAGTTTATATGTTTGATTACAGTTATCGCTGATGCAATTTATCTTAAAAATGATTCCGTTAATTAATGCAATCCAATCAATCAATACGGGGCTGTTGAACGATCAGTGCAGCTCTGATAAACTAGGCAGAAATACAAAAAAGGGATCGTACAAAACTGACTGACTGCCGATAATTGCATGACACCTGTTTATAAATAATTTACGGCGATGAAAAGTTCAATAAAAGGATTATAATCCGCATTCGTTTAAGCCTATATATATACCTTTTCAGTCTCCCGTGAACCATACCACGATCGTACGTCTGGCAGTGGCGTAACTACAACATAACCCGTCCAGAGGAATCCTGCCATAGCAATAAATTCACAATTAGCAATTAATCTTCACTTGATCGCCATAATTCTATCAGGGACAGCCCTTGGGAAGGTGTGACCACCGCCGGAGAATTAATTGGCAACGATGAAGCGTTAATAAATCTCTCTGGTAATGAATTGACGCAAATGGCATCAGCGTTATTTATAGTAACGAGACTAGACGGATAGACTCGTAGAGGTATACCTTTGTATTAGAATAAATAATAAGAAGAATGATTCATTGTATGGGCGAACAAGACCCCAAATGTGCATCTTAATACTCATGCTGAGACAAGTTGTGGATCCTATGGTCGTGAGGGCAGCTGGGGGAACCCTCAAACATTTACGTATTCACTTGCGAAACCTGTACATCTTTCCTCGATAATGGTGGCTTTGTGGTGAACATGATTGTAAAATACCTGTATCGATCATGGTTGTAGAACACGCACCACTAGTGAACATGCCTGTAGAACACGCACCACTAGAGAACATGGTTGTAGAACACGCACCACTAGTGAACATGCCTGTAGAACACGCACCACTAGAGAACATGGTTGTAGAACACGCACCACTAGTGAACATGCCTGTAGAACACGCACCACTAGAGAACATGCCTGTAGAACACGCACCACTAGTGAACATGCTGTAGAACACGCACCACTAGTGAACATGCCTGTAGAACACGCACCACTAGAGAACATGGTTGTAGAACACGCACCACTAGTGAACATGCCTGTAGAACACGCACCACTAGAGAACATGCCTGTAGAACACGCACCACTAGAGAACATGCCCATAGAACACGCACTACTAGAGAACATGCCCATAGAACACGCACCACTAGTGAACATGCCTGTAGAACACGCACCACTAGTGAACATGCCTGTAGAACACGCACCACTAGTGAACATGCCCATAGAACACGCACCACTAGAGAACATGGTTGTAGAACACGCATCACTAGAGAACATGGTTGTAGAACACGCACCACTAGCGAACATTCCTGTAGAACACGCACCACTATTGAACATTCCTGTAGAACACGCACCACTAGTGAACATGCTTGTAGAACACGCACCACTAGCGAACATGCCTGTAGAACACGCACCACTATTGAACATTCCTGTAGAACACGCACCACTAGCGAACATTCCTGTAGAACACGCACCACTATTGAACATTCCTGTAGAACACGCACCACTAGCGAACATGCCTGTAGAACACGCACCACTAGTGAACATTCCTGTAGAACACGCACCACTAGTGAACATGCCTGTAGAACACGCACCACTAGCGAACATGCCTGTAGAACACGCACCACTAGCGAACATGCCTGTAGAACACGCACCACTAGCGAACATGCCTGTAGAACACGCACCACTAGCGAACATGCTTGTAGAACACGCACCACTAGCGAACATGCCTGTAGAACACGCACCACTAGCGAACATTCCTGTAGAACACGCACCACTATTGAACATTCCTGTAGAACACGCACCACTAGCGAACATGCTTGTAGAACACGCACCACTAGTGAACATGCCTGTAGAACACGCACCACTAGCGAACATGCCTGTAGAACACGCACCACTAGCGAACATGCCTGTAGAACACGCACCACTAGCGAACATGCCTGTAGAACACGCACCACTAGCGAACATGCTTGTAGAACACGCACCACTAGCGAACATGCCTGTAGAACACGCACCACTAGCGAACATGCTTGTAGAACACGCACCACTAGTGAACATGCCTGTAGAACACGCACCACTAGCGAACATGCCTGTAGAACACGCACCACTAGCGAACATGCCTGTAGAACACGCACCACTAGCGAACATGCTTGTAGAACACGCACCACTAGCGAACATGCCTGTAGAACACGCACCACTAGCGAACATGCCTGTAGAACACGCACCACTAGCGAACATGCCTGTAGAACACACACCTGTAGCGAGCGAGTGAGGGAGTACGCAGCACAGAACACCCAGCACACACTAACCTCAGTCAGAGAGCATAATTAAAAAGGATTATACTTTTATGACGTCACAACTACACGTGGCCCATTCACCATTCCTTTCCCCTCCCTTGCTTGCCACGACCCCTTTCCCACACCCCCTCCCTCTAGTTATATACGACCCCTCTTTCCTCATTTTGCTCCATTCTACTCCACGATACGACCCCTCTTACCCCTTGCTTAAAACGACCTACCTTCCCTTTTGCTTGATGGAACCCCCATACTGGGAGTTATAACCCCTACACACCCCTTACCTATAATTAATGATTGCTCCACTATTAAACCGCCAAAGTTATGTTCTGCTGGTGATTTATCTCCATAGTATAATATAATTTTGATTTTGGATAATTTATCAAGGCCACGATTTCGGGCCATAGAAACAATTAATCAACCCGGATTAAAAGTTTCGGCCCCAAAACCCACAAAGCAGAACCAGCCAGTACACCGCGGACCAGCGGAGAGATAAATGATGCCTGCGCAACAGCCTCTCCCTCGCTCAGGGCCTCTCTGCCATATTTAACACCTGCTATAGTCCCTAGGAGGGAGCGATATTTCCCTAAGAAGGAGTGCAAGCCCCTAACAGAGACCGCTGGGTCCTTCTAGGGGCTACTGTTAGCCCCCATAGAAGAGATTACTAGCACCTTATAGCTAACCTCTAGCTTCTAGAAGTCTAGACCTCTAACTTCTAGAGGTCTAGTCCTCTAACTGCAATTAGTCCTTACCACTATTTTTTACTAGTAATCGGATGCTGACTTACAATATAAAATACAAAAAAAATACTTTGTACCAATTGGAAACTATTAAATTTGTCACCGGCGTAAATTCTACTGCGCTTTCCTACATATTAATACTTCAAAATTCGAATTTTGCTGCATGCAAAAAATACAGATAGATATGGTGCAGTGTATTTATCATCTATCAGTGTATTATCATCAATTTGTCATCTTTGGGTCAGAGTTGGGTCATACGGTGTTGTGAGTAATATTAATGTAGACAATAGACATTTCACCATCCGCCGGAGATGAAGTACGTATCATGTAATTGCTATACAGCTGTTCTGGTAGGTGTATTACTGAGACTACATCGTTAATACAGTCATGATATCTATGTTTTGTATGATGATGGTGAGGTAAAAGTGATGTGTGATCTGTCATTGTCAGCTTCCCTCTCACCTTTCTCCCCTCTCTCTCTCTCTCTCTCTCTCTCTCTCTCTCTCTCTCTCTCTCTCTCTCTCTCTCTCTCTCTCTCTCTCTCTCTCTCTCTCTCTTGCTCTCTCCTCTCCCCTCTCTCTCTTTCTCTCCTCTCCCCTCTCTCTCTCTCTTTCTCTCTCTCTCTCTCTCTCTCTCTCTCTCTATCTCCTCTCTCTCTCTCTCTCTCTCTCTCTTCCTCTCCCCTTTCCTCCAGGGCCCTGCTTCACTGTCTTCACACAGATTTACTACGTAATTAAATCATTGTAATCAAGTTATTGTCCTCCTTATCCCTCCTCCCCCTCCTCCCCACCCTGTCCCCCAGAGCCCACCCCTCCTCCCCTGCCCACCAATAACCCACAACCACCCCCCCCCTACCCATCCTAGCACCCTACCCGTCACAACCCCAACACCCCTTTCGCCACCATGTTGTGATTTGGTTATAATGTGCCATAGTTGTTAAATTGGTGTCACAACTGTCATTTTCTACAATACCAGGCTGCAACCCCCTCTGTCTACGTTCTGCAATTTTGCAGTAATATCGTGTTTGTCAGTTTGAACCTGCATCGTACGTCTATATATACACATCTAGTCACCCCATTCTCTCGATTTTCCACTCCGTAAACAATGCAACGGTTTTGCCTACTCATGAACGTGCGAACCCAAGCAACCCACCTAAGCTATAGAGAACGATGCATAAAACACATTATAACAGTGCTTTGATGTTTTTAATAATAAGTCGCATTTATAATGGATTGCAAGATTCCGTTACAAATGCGACGTATTAGTCGAGAGGAGGATAGACGATAGACATCCACTTAACTAACTGGGACAGAAGCCGGCGGCTTGTCAAAGAACTCCCCACCACACTTTTCAGGAGAATTTTTCCCACTGCAGTTTTCAACTGCCATAGACTTTAAATAAGTAGAGGCAAAATATGATTAAATAACAAAATACCACTAAAGAGGAATGTGAAACAATTTGATACTCAGTGATTTTATTCTAAAACTCTGAAACAGGTTGAGTTTCAGAAGCTTAGAGTGTCTTTCACCCTGATGCACCTGTTCACCTAGCAGTAAATAGGTAGCTAGGAGTTAGACAGCTGCAACGGGCTGCTTCCTGGGGATGTGTAACAAAAAGAAGGCCTGGTCGAGGACCGGGCCGCGGGGACGCTAACCCCCGAAATCATCTCAAGATAACCTCAAGATATAACCGGGCCGCGCGGACGCTAATCCCCGAAATCATCTCAAGATAACCTCAAGATAACCTCCCTCACACCCCACAAGGTCTCCAACTCCACTTCCTGAACTCGCTTGATCCACTATTTTATTGAAATGATTCCCTCCCCCCCCCCCCTTTGCCCTAGATAAATTACAAGGAAAAAAAACTAAAATGCAGGTAATTAGCAAGAGGCTGCAGGAGTAGGAGGAGGAGGAGGTAGACACTGACTCTCACCAAGGCTGATAATCCCGTCTGTGATTAAAGACCTCTGGCCCTATTAGCCAGTAAGGGAAGAACACAGGAGATAATGCTTGCTATTATAAAAAATTTTAGGGTAATAACACAGCATATTCTATGGTTAGAGTTAAGTTATATTTTACATCATTCTTGTATATTTTTTGTTTAATTATATATAAAAATATTTATATCATAAAACCCCAATGGATCGGTGAGTAGTAAACTTGTTAACTCTTAGAATCTTACAAGAATATCCAAAGCTTTCATACTGAAAAAAAATCTTTGTTCTGCAAGTTTAAAAGGTCCCACGCGTATATTTTATATATATATATATATAATATATATATATATATATATATATATAATATATATATATATATATATATATAAATATAATGTTTTCTTCACAATATAATTTAGAATGCACAATTTAGAGCACTTGTCATATATCACACAATACAGTTTAATGGTGGTTTATGTCTTCAAATTATGAGCCGTCTGTCATGCTCAAGTGGGATGAAATAACGATAAACAAGATCTATTGTTTTCCTCTGGTTCGTATTACGGGCCACAAGATATTGGCGCTTAATGACCCGTCATTACTCCTCTTGTCATTAGCGGGGCGCAGCTTGTGGGCACCTGGTCGTGCCTCCAAGATCCAGCTCCAGCTCTTGGACCCCGCTTTTCTAGCCGCTGTGTGTGTATGCCCCACACACACACACACACACGAAGACGCATACGTGGTCCGGTTCATGAGGTCTTCACGCCAGAAAATAATGAGGTTAAGACGATAAATTATCCTCGTAGACGCCCAAGTGCCGGGTGTTGCTCGTCTCACGCCCACAGCGCTACCCACACCCTGGCTACTTATCATATTATGACTACTGTGGCTGCTTGCCTCCCCCAACACACACACACTACACCTCTGATCCAGGCCTTCACTCTCACTCCTGCCTCCGCCACCCACACTCTAGCCTCTTCAAGCTACTGAGTAACACGGAAGGTCTTGCTCTCTTATCCAGGATCTCAGTTTGTCCTCATATCTTAGCTCCTTGTCTTCTTGTCCAAGCTTTCATGTCACAAGCTGGGATAGGAATGCTGGGCTTTCATATCCCAGTTCCTTGTCCTCATATCCCAGCTCCTTGTCCTCATATCCCAGCTCCTTGTCCTTATATCCCAGCTCCTTGTTCTCATATCCCAGCTCCTTGTCCTCATATCCCAGCTCCTTGTCCTCATATCCCAGCTCCTTGTCCTCATATCCCAGCTCCTTGTCCTCATATCCCAGCTCCTGGTCCTCATATCCTCTACACGTGCTATAGTCATGCTGGGTTAGCAGCTTCTCTTGATCATTACCTAACTTTCAACGCGACGCGTAAGCACCAGTGGTATTTAAGAACGGTAGTGATTCAAGTCACAGGAGGGAGAAGAGGAGAATGTGCAAACTGCCTCGTCTGTTTGTTTACATGTGTTGACGCGAGCACGTGGAACCCTGGATGTAAACAGACTCAACTTGGCGCGAAAGCTGCCAAACAGAATGTCCAGCGGTGGCTAAACAGAGGGACATTCTTCACGTGTATTGCTGCAGGGGGTGGTGCTGCTGCTGCCGGCACTCGTTCACAGCTTGCTTGATCAAAACTAAATACATACAGAGGGAGCGATCATATCTGAGACATGATACTGCCTGCACCACCTAAGGCGACATATTCCGCTACAGGGATATATACTACATATATACTTTTCTATCAATATGCTCATCATGGCTTAGTCGGTAGTGCGTACAGGGAAGTCCAGCCATGCAGGTTCGAACCCATTTAATAGCCTTAATATTCTGCCATTAACGATTTCCTTCTACAAACACAAATGTCAGCTATACAGTCCTCACCTTGTGGCGATTCGAAGATGTTTCTATGGGAACATTCTCAGACAAACCCGGCCTACGGCTGGGCCTAATTGCGTGAAATAAGGGTCGGAGAACCCTTCATTAATAGGAGATGAGACCACACCAACGAGGCTGACCCTTTAGGCTGAACCTTTAGGCTGACCCTTTTGTATTGTTGACGGTGTGAGAGGACCCCGGAGGAGAGAGAGAGAGAGAGAGAGAGAGAGAGAGAGAGAGAGAGAGAGAGAGAGAGAGAGAGAGAGAGAGAGAGAGAGAGAGAGAGAGAGAGAGAGAGAGAGAGAGAGATGTTGTTTTAGATTTAGCTACTCAGAACGAAATGTCCATGTAGCACGGGCTATGGTGAGCCCGTAAGAGAGAGACGCTATAGGG